CGAGGACACCGCTGAGGAGCGTCGACTTGCCAGCGCCCACCGACCCGACGACCGCCACCAAGTGGTTGCTCCCAAAACTGAGCGACACGTTGCGCAAGACTGGAATGTTCGCCTCGGCGTCGGCCGTCTCTTGGGCGGTCGTCGGCGTCGCCGCGTACGTAAAGTCGGCCTTTGCGATCGCAATGCCCACGTCCGTGAGGTGGCCGGCCGTGACGGGCGACCGCTCTTCGAGGAGGAAGAACTCGGTGAGGCGCGTGAACGAGACTTGCGCTTCGACGAGTGAGTTGATGACGTTCGGGAGCATGAAGAGCGGGAAGCGTAAAATGTTAAAGAGGGCCAGCGATGTGAGCGCCGTGCCCACGTCCAGCGTGTTGCCGAGGTAAATGTACGCGGCAAAGGACGCGACCGTCACGAGCGACGGGACACCGTTGAAGACGACGCTCGAGAAGGACCGGGCGTAAATGTACGTGCGGAGGCGGTCGAGCTCGTTGGTGCGGAACTCCATGACACGGGTCGTAAAGCTGTTTTCCCAGGCCTGGAGCTTGATGACCTTGATGCCCGAGAGGACTTCGTAGACGACCTTGACGCGCTCGTCCTTGACCGTCATGAGGCGCTGCTGGAGCGACCGCATCATGGTCGAGATGGCCGCCGTCGTGGGGATGATGAGCAGCATCACGACGACGCCTGCGAGAAACGCGATGCCGAGTTGGCGGTAGAGCAAGTACGACGACACGAGGATCTGGAAGAACGCGTACCAGATCGCGTGCAGATAGTTGGTAATTTCCTGGAGGCGCTGCGCGTCAATGCTCATGAGGTTGGTGATCTCGCCCGTCGACCGCGCGCCTTTCGCCGACGCCGAGAGCACGAGCGACTTGTGGTACACGGCCGTCACGATGGCCGACCGGAGACGCAGACCCGTCTCAAAGCAGTAAAAGAAATACTGGCGCAACGCAAACGACTGACCGACGCCCGCGACAAAGATGACAGCAGCGTACACGAGGCCTTCGTTGACGTCGGCGTTGGGGTCCGAGAGGAACTCGATGATGAGCTTGATCACAAGCGGCCCGACAAACTGCAGCGAGTCGTGGATGAGCTTGAGGATACCGGCGACGAGGAAGGGCGCGCCAAAGGCCTTGGAGAGCGCCCACCAGAGTCGCGGGTTTGGCTTGGCGAGCTCTGCGTCCCAGTAGCGCTGAAAGGTCGCCGAGATGCGCAGCGCGCGGTCGCTCGGGTTGAGTTGGTAGAGGTCGCCGAACTCAAGCGGCCGCTGGTTGCCGAGGTCGAGGAGCGGGGTGAGCCACGAGAAGAAGACGGACGAGACGCAGCCGCCCATCTCTTCCGGGCACGTGTCGCCAAAGCCATCGTTCTTGACGAGCAGCGGTACGCGCTCCAGCTTGGTGGTCGGCGCCATCACTGCAAAAGCCAGAGTGGCGCAACCAGTGGCTCCAACACACCCGTTCACTCGCGAATTCGGTGGAACCTCCGTGGGTAATGAAGCGTGCAAAGCGATCTGATTGGCTCTTCGAAAAACTTCGACGCGCTCTGATTGGCTCCGAGACTGGACGTGCTAGCGTTCGAAGCAACTTCGAAGCTGCGAGGGACCAGAAATGGGAGGCGGCGTCTTGCCGAAGCCGCTTCGTGCAGACGTCAGTAAGAAGCCGTGAGATCGGCAGCTGTAGCCGACGTGCAAGGGACCAGACTTTGTCTCTGCTCTTGGCACTGCTCATCGAGCCGGAAGGGATTTCCGATCACACCACCATCTGGCAAATCACCGCATTGGCAATGCAGTGTTTATTCGGCGACAGCACAACAAGGAGCCGAGGCCCAATGGCCGTCGATACATACAGTAATGTAGAAGAGCCCTCGTGGTGGTTGTCGACGCGGTCTGTGGATCTGCGCTGCATAGCAGTACACATGAGCGGGAAGGAATTTGCTTGGTGAATCGCACGCGCCACTGGTACCGGTACGCAGATTCTTGGTCCAACCTTTGCTTGAAGCATCCATCCGCCCGTCCCACAGCCGAGGACAGGAAAAACGACCGAAACTGAGTCTGAGATTGCACACTCAGTATGTCATACAGTATTCGGGACACTGGATGTGGTACAGTGTAGTAGCTTCACGCCGCCCATGACGTTACGTATTCCATCGATCTTGATGTGTTTGTGGCAATTGCGTGCAGGTGTACCTCTGGTTACGTGTACAAACAGACAGGAGCCTTAGCATCATTTCTCTTGTGCTACAAGTAATGGTTTGTAGACCACATTTCGACGCTAGCGTCGAGAAAGAAGGTAAATTCATTGCATTCATGACGTAAAAATAGGCCAGCATTCATTCAATTACATCCAGGTCTACGTACTCGTCGCCGTCGCGCCAGTGGTCGACGAGGTTGGTAAAGAGGCCCTTCGGGTTCTTCAGCAGCTCGCTCGGCGTGTCAAACTCGGCCGCGCCGCCCTTGTCCATGACCAGAATGCGGTCGCAGTCCAAGATCGTGTTGATGCGGTGGGCGATCGTCAAGGTCGTGCAGTCGACAAACTCGTCGCGGATGCTCTGCTGGATGAGCCGGTCCGTGTTGGCGTCAATCGACGCGGTCGCTTCGTCCATGAGAATCACCTTGGACTTCTTCAGGAGCGCACGCGCAATGCAAATCAGCTGTCGCTCGCCGACGCTAAAGTTCATGCCGCGTTCGTCGACCTTGTCGTCGAGCGACGTGACCGCCGAGTCGAGGTGCGCGCGCTTGATGGCTGTCCAGAGCGCCGCGTCGTCGTAGCGCGAAAACGGATCCAAGTTGGAGCGCACCGAGCCCGAAAACAGCACCGGGTCTTGCGGGATGATCGAGATC